GAAGATATCTCACCTACATAGGCGCCGACTCCATAGGTGCTCCGGGGCTGGAGTGGGGGCAAGGCCTTGGAGGAAGGGGTGGAGTGGGGGCGGGGCCTGGGGCAAGGGGTCAAGCACCCCCCCGGCACATTAGAAAGTTGGCACCTGTGCTCACCCACTTTGTCTCTCTAATATGTAGGATCTAGTAATTATGCTATTTTAATTATTGCACAGCTTCAGCAAGAAAGAACATTGACATCTTGTTAATGTATAAAAATGTTTTATTTGAAAAACATGTAGTATATATGATTTTTAAAAAATGCACTTACCTTACACCAGAAACTCAGATAGGTCAGCTCCATGCTCAGACTGGGTTCCATGGCTGATGTGATATTAACATAAAGGTTCATGCCACGGAACCGCAGCACAACTGTATGGGAAAGAACTTATCTGTCTTACCTATGCCTCTTTGTAACAATCTCCAGCTTTCATTAAGAACTAGCCTGTAATAAGCCACATTTTTAAAAGCATCAATTCTAGGAATTTTCCAAAGATCATAAATTCACAAGAGAGCTGGAATAGTAACATGTTCCAGGAAAAGGAAACAATTCTGAAAAATTGCAGCTTCTTCTTTTCCAGCCTTTTTTTTTTTTTTTTTTTAAATCTATAAAATCACCCCAGCATTTGGCAGTTTCAGGACTGCATGAGTCATATCCTTGCTAACTGGAATACTTAAGTAAGCTTGTTCAGCATTAGGTATGTTTGTAAAGAAGTGAGTAAATAGTAATTGGAAATGAAAAACTTAGATTTTTTTTAGAACATTTTTCTTCTCCCACCATTCTCTAGTGACCTGACCTGAAATAACTGCATTTATGTTACTGCACTGATATGTTTAATATCTTCAGACTGAATAACCTATTGGGATCCACTAAAAAAGACCCCTGCTGCATTGGTGCCAAAATTAATCACTCTAACTTCTTTCCATATGAAAACTGCAATTGTTAGAGGTATGCAAAGTTCAGAAAGTTTAAGGTCTCACTGGCAGTTGAGTATGTACACTCAGAGAGACAGAACTTGGCATTCAACCTTTCTGAGATGAAATACAATATAAAATCACCTTTAACATAATTGCCTAAAATCCTTTTTTGTATATAGTATTACATTTAGAATGGATTTTTTTTTTAGCAGAATAGTTCAGTCATAAACCTCTAAATAGTAGAGGAAAAGAGCACAAATCATGAGCAAATCTTTTCATATAAAATGTAATTGGTATTAAATCATTTAGCAGTGTTGTTGCTTTAAGAAAAACCCAGAGTGTCAAGACTACATAGTGTGACAAAGTTCCTCCTCTATTTTGGTGGGTCCTGCGCTTATTGGCGGATTTGCTCGCCTCAGAGATCTTCCCCTCTGGTGGAACCCACAGTCCGGGTCAACTCCTCCTGTGTCTGATCAGGAGGTGGGAGGTTTGGGGGGAACCCAGGCCCACCTTCTACTCCGGGTTCCAGCCCAGGTCCCTGTGGATTGCAGCTGTCTATAGTGCCTCCTGTAACAGCTGCATGACAGCTACAACTCCCTGGGCTACTTCCCCATGGCCTCCTCCAAACATCTTCTTTATCCTCACCATAGGACCTTCCTTCTGGTGTCTGGTAATGCTTGTACTCCTCAGTCCTCCAGCAGCATAGCACACCCTCTCAGCTCCTTGCGCCTCTTGCTCCCAGCTCTTCACACATGCACCACAAACTGAAGTGAGCTCCTTTTTAAACCCAGGTGCCCCGATTAGCCTGCCTTAATTGATTCTAGCAGCTTCTTGATTGGCTGCAGGTGTTCTAATCAGCCTGTCTGCTTTAAAATTGTTTCCAGAAAGTTCCTGATTGTTCTGGAACTTTCCCTGTTACCTTACCCAGGGAAAAGGGACCTACTTAACCTGGGGCTAATATATCTGCCTTCTATCACTCTCCTGTAATCTCCAGGTCCTGTGGACCCCCCTTAGGCCCACTTCCTAGATCCCAATAGGATCACTCTCCTGTAGTAGCCATCTATAAAACCAGGGTGAGGAGGTTGGCCGATGGAGTCTCCTGTGACTGTGGGGCCTGTTTCCGATCCTCTGTCCGTTCACATATCCGGGCAGGTTTCCTCTGGGCGGCGTCCACTGGCTCCCTTGACACCTTTGAGGAGCAGTGGGCGCTGTCCGGGGTTCTCTGCTCGGTGTCCCCGTCTGGTTCGCTTCGTTTGACCCTTTGACCTCACTCCTGTCCCTGTTCTTTTATTAGTTGTCCCCTGTAATTTTTTGGTCTCCAGGTCCTGTGGACCTGCCCCCCCCCCCCTTATGCTGGGGGGAGGGATCCTTTAGCAGTGGGCGGGCTTTGCCTGCCCACTTCCTGGATCCCAATAGGATCACTCTCCTGTAATCACAGACTTGTGGATCCTCCCCTTAGGCTGGGGGGAGGTCCTTTTGCAGTGGGGGGGCTTTGCCCGCCCACTTCCTGGATACCAACAGCATCACTCTCCTGTAGCCATCTGGCCTGACCCTGTCACAATAGTTACTCTGATTATGTAAAAGTTTATTATTTCATGCTTTAATATTTTTTTAAAATACCCATTGGTAGAAAAACAAACAAACATAGTTTCTCTTCAGAAGGCTAATCTGACTGAACCATACTTTACACACTGTGAGTAGCCTCTTGGTTATCCTCAGTTTTCTACAGTTTCATTTTCCTACAAATGGATTTGCAAAGTTCAGTGGATCTAATTTTGTTCATTTGTCAGATCCTTTAGTTTTTCTTCTCTTATTTGGTATTTTCTTGATTATTTTTTTCTTTTTCAGCTACCTCCATTTTGGTTTTACTCATTTTGCTGGTGATGAAATGTCTTTGAGCTGCTATTCTCAAAAACATGTGCGTTCATGTTAGTACATATATGTAAATTAAAGTGAGCTATTTTTGATTGTGCATTCTAATTAACAATATAAAGGAGGGAGAAAAACAGCGTTTGGCTAAATGGAAAAAGACCGGATCAGTGGAATAAAAGATCCCAAATTAATTGAAGTCGAAGGGAGTTTCCATTGATGTCAATGGGCTTTGAATAAGAACCTTATCTAAAGAATTCCAGATTTATTGCAGGTGGCGAGACCACAGTACTCCAATACCATAGGGAGGAGGAAACCGAGAATTTACAATATTTGTCATGCATTCAGTGCAATCCCACTGAAGACAACAAGATTACACACAGTGTATGTCAGCATAGAATTTGTCTCAAAGTTCTTACCTTGCCCGCATTCCATATCTTAAGTATTTTATATTATTCATTATGCTGTTTAATGTATGGATCCAGTTTTGCTTTCAAATTTGTACACACAAGGACTACACCTTGAGATAATGCTCTGCCCTAAATAAGGGGCAGCACATTATTACATGCCCGTTAAGCATCCCAGGAAAAAAGATTGTGACTCAGACACAATTCCCCTTCTTGTTTTCCTACTGCTCTGGGAAGAGAGTAAACTGCCCCAGGTATAGACCCAGTAGAAGGTATGCTACCCCGTGTGCTGGGGAGATTGGAGCTGAGATTCTGCCTGTTCCCCACCCCGTCCTGTCCCCATACTCCATGAGGAAGTAAGCAGCAGCCCTATGGAACCTACTTTCATGTCTGTGCTGCTACCTGATGTTGTTAGCCAGCAGAGAAATGTAAGGGGGCACCTTGGTCTCCTTTAGGCCTCTGTGCTGCACTAGCTGGGGTAAAATTTGGTGCTAAATAACTTCAGTGAGAGTTGCCTAGGTTAATTTAGTATAAATCTTGGGTCCTACAAGAAGAATGGGGTCAAAGTTAAAGGTTACAGTGAATATCTTATCTTTTGCAATTCCTAACATTTTTAATTTTAAAAGTGTAACCTCATCATCAAATTTGTGTATTTAATTCTAACCTCACAAAAGTGTAACATACTTCCAGTTGAGCAGAGTTTAAAATATGGGGAAGATTAAGGAAGTGAAGGGCACAAAATAGCTTTTTTTGTATATCCACTTTTAATGAAAAAAATACTGTATGAATAGAAATGGAAGTATAACAAAGGATTTTCAATTGATTTAGGAAAATACAGTGATAAGTAGAGCAAGGAAAAACAGACATTTTAACTCTCAGTTATTCATATATCACTGAACTGCTTAGTACCTACCCTCAGTCATTTCTGTTCCAAAACAGCCTACAAAATAAAAACAAAATATATGGTACTTTTACTGAAGTATTCTCCATTAGCAACCATAAAGTCTTATTTATTCACCACTGTAGTGTCCATACATTACTTTTCCATTTCTTGCATGCCAAAAAGTACAAATGAATTTTAAAAAGAAAAGAATTTCTAGCCAAGTATATGGCGGTGGAAAGAAAACTTTCTTATCTGTTTCTTCACAATTTAATAACTTGAAAATGATTACTGGCAATATAATTCTTTGATTAAAATGATCGGTTAGTGCTATTTTAATGAAAGTATTTTTTTAAAAAATGTGCAATCTTTTAGAATTTATAAAACAACCTAAAGTTGACATTATCAACATGCCAGATACCTGGAGCATAATCTTGAGCCATAGCCAGATTAGATTTAGGACAATTTCCAAACATTTTAGGCATGAAAAAAATAAAAACGAAAAAGAAAACTAAACTAAAATAGAAGCACATGAGTGTGTTCCAGTGTTCCATATATTAAAACTGCCCCTGCTGTATGTCTTAGTATGGTCCAACTCCCAACATAGAGACTATTTATATCAGTTTCTAGTGTGTCCATATCTTCTTAAATTGGAAGAAATATCTTTAGAAAAGAAATCTGATCTACTAGAACATACAATGGGGCTAGATTAGCTTCAATTATGTTACTTGAAATAAAATATCCATTATATTAAGCTACCGGCTGGCAAGCATTAAATCAAATATAGACTTTTATATATTCTGTATTTCTAGTGAAGTGTTACAACAGAACCTTTTTTTAAAACCTCTTGGCCAGCACAAAACAAAGACTGGATTTGACTGCATCTTATTGGCTAGTTGAGAGTTATGAAGAGCCCTGTCTCTTTTGGTATTGTATTCTAAGCTTTTCCAGTTGCTCTGCACACTGCGTCTGAGCCAGTTTCAATGTCCGATTCTCCTCTGTCAGTTCTGCATATTCCTTAGTCAGCTGAGCAGCATCCATGCTCTCCTTTTCTGCCTGTTCCAGTCTGGCAATCAGCTCCTTTCTGAGGATTAAGAAAACAGGAAGATAAAAGTTGAAGTATGTAAGTGCCATTACCCAGGATACCCTTTTGGACATCACCTATGGTCTTGTTCCCTAGGAAAGACAACACTATAAGGTTTTGTGTTGATTATAGAAAATTTAATGCTGTTACAGTACCAGATGTATATCCCATGCGTAGAACTGATGATATACTGGACATTTTAAGCAAAGTTAAATATCTCAATTCTTTTGTTTTAACTCAAGGTTACTGGCAGATCCCTTTGGATGAGGATGCACAGAAAAAAATCTGCTTTCATCACCGATATAGGACTCTAGGAGTTCACAGTGTTACCATTTGATTTAATTAATGCTGGAGCCACCTTCCAGAGGCTGGGGTAAACCAAGCGTTAAATGGTTTACAGACCTTTGCAAGAGCATGTGTGGATGACACTACAGTATTTAGTAACACTTGGGCTGATCACAAAGAACACTTGGGAACTGTGCTGTCAAAACTCAAAGAGGCAGGCCTAACTATAAAAGCCTCTATAAAAGCCTCTGTAAAACTGAAGTAGCCAGAGTTCCTTATTTGGGACACTGGGTAGGGGAAGGTCAAACATCCCTATGCTTTGAAAGTTGAAGCTATTGTAAATTGGCATATATTCCAAACCAAAAAATAAATCCAGTCTTTCTAGGTCTGGTAAACTATTACAGGCGGTTTGTGTGTGGTTCTGGTGACATTGTCTCTGCCATCACAGATTTATGTAAAAAGACCAAGCTAAACAAAGTCGGTTGGATGAAAGCATGCCAGGAAGGATTTGATAAGGTAAAGAACATTTTGTCTGAAAAGTCTGTTCTAGCTAGCCCTGATTTTGACAAAATGTTTAAACTGTGTAAAGATGCATCAGACGTTGGTCTGGGTGCTGTGCTGATGCAAACAGGGGAGAATAACATGAAATACGCAATTGTTTTCTTAAGCAAAACATTTACATCAACTGAATAGAATTAGTCTGTCATAGAAAAGGAATGCTATGCTATAGTGTGGGCAGTTAAGCAACTATCCTGTTCAAAAGAACAGGCCCTACCTGTTCAATAGAAAATTCAGGGTCTTAACAGATCATTAGTCATTGATTAGGCTAAACAAACCTAAAGGCTCAAATTCCAAGCTTCTACACTGGAGCCTCTTCAGGATTTTGATATGGAAATTGTGCACATAAAGGGAAAAGACAACATGGCAGCAGATGCCATGTCCAGGAAAGAGGGCCCTGACCAACTGCCTCTGGGTTAGCCACAGCTTTGTAAGGGGGAGGTGTGACGGTCTGTACCCCAATGTTCACCCCTTTTACAGGACTATGATAAATTTTGTACAACAAGTATGCCTTTGAAGAGGCATCATTTGAAAACTCATAATTTGCTGATCATTATTGTACTGGTAAAATATGTATGGGAACATTGTATGTAAAGTTATAAGATTCTACTGTATGACACTACTAAGGCCTTGTCTACACTACACAGTTTTGTCAACAAAAGTCAGGCTTCATTGACAAAACAGTGGAGGTGTACACACAATTCTCCTTCCACCACTTTAATTCTCCTGCTACACCGACATAATAAAACCACCTTGATGAGCGGCGCAGAGCTTTTTGAGACAAAGTTAGAGAGACACATTGTCAGTGTAGACACTGTGCTTGTTTACGTCGCCCTAAGGGGAGTCCAGGTGGTGTCCCACAATGCCCATCATGACCGCTTTGGTAAGCAGTTTCTACTCTGCTGCCCTACAGCCAGGTACAGAGGCCTGCACTCCTCCCCCTTTAAAGCCCTGGGAATTTTTGAAATTCCACTTCCTGTTTGCTTGGCCTGGACAGCTCACATCACATCTTCCCAGCCAACCATGCCGGCTTTCCGCAGCAAACATGCTCCCATCTGGTGTACACAGGAGTTGCTGGATTGGTTGGGTCTGTGAGGAGAGGAGGCTGTGCAGTTGCAGCTCCGATCCAGACATAGGAACTTTGACACCTACGAGCAGATTGCCTGTGGCATGGATGGGAAGGGGCACGAAAGGGGTATGCAGCAGTGCCATGCTAAGATCAAGGAGCTGAGGCAGACGTACCAGAAAGCAAGGGAGGTCGACCGTCACTCTGGTGCGGTGCCAAAAACATGCCACTTCTACAAGGAGCTGCTCGCCATCCTCGGCAGCAACCCCACCTTTACCGCCAAGAGCCCCATGGATATTTTGAGGGGACTGGAGGCTGCGGCCAGTGGAGTCATTCCCAAAGACTAAGTGGTGGATGAGGAGGTCAAGTTGGAGGATGATGTGGAACAAGCAACAGGCTTGTCCTGTGGCATGGCGAGGTGAGCCAAGACCTCTTTTTGACTCCAGAGGGATCTACCCAGTCACAGCGGTCCGGCTCTAGTGTGCCTGAAGCAAGAGAGGGGAGCTCCGGTAAGTACTCATTTTGCTTTGATAGTGCACAGCTACATAAGACAGAAGTGTCCTTTATTTTGTTACATGGTGCACATGGGAGAAGAGATTAAAATTAACAACACTTGGTATTGTTTCATCTGCTTCTTGCTCCCCTGTGCAGCTACGCAGTGGGGGCGCTGCGGAAAAGTTTGTTAATGCACACCAAGATCTCCTGGGAATCCTCCATAGTGATCTCTAGGAAACTTTCCTGCAGATACGCTACAATCCTTTGCCGAAGGTTCCTTGGCAGAACTGCTTTGTTTCTTCCCCTGTTGTAGGAAACTTTGCTGCACCAATTGGCAATTACTTCTGGAGGCACCAAAGCAGCACACAGGTAGCAGCATATAGAACCTGTTGGAAGCCGCACGCATGCAGGAAATGCACCCCTGCATCTTTGGTTACCCTCAGTAGTGTGATTTCAGCTTCAGTTGCCCCCGCCTGTGGAAAACGGTGCCAGTATTCAAAATAGTGTCCTTAGGCGCTTGTACTGATCCCCTTCTGAAACCACCCAGACCCTTTCCACCATCCCCTCCCCACATCCCCCCGGCCAAACTCACCATGTTTAGTGCTCTGTTTAGTGCGTGCTTGTCAAGGAAAATTAATAATGAAAGTTACATACACCTCTTTCTCAAAGACAGTGAGTGCACACACAATACTGACTTTGTGTACTGTTTCTTTTGCTTCTGCAGATGTGTGCTTGAGGGCCAGCTCCTACACACCAGCGGAACACCTCCATCAGATAAGGAAGCAAATGAGGAGGAGTAAGGAGGACATGTTTCATGAAGTGCTGCAATTGTCAGATCAGGCTGATAGTGAGCACAGAGCATGGTGAGAGACAAACAAAAAGTAGAAATGAATAGCCAGGAGAGGGGACAGGGCCAGGAGAGGATAATACAGGGTCAGGAGCAGATAATAAAGCTCACGGAGGACCAAACAGAGATGCTTGGGTCCCTGACTGCACTGTAGTGCTCAATTCCCTGCCTTCCATGCTCTTCCCAAACTCCCCCCATACATTCCTTGCACTTCCTGGCCTGCCACGGTACCCCTGGCACTCCACCCGCAGGGACATCTCCCATAATGAAATCTGGACTTACACCCAGCTGTGAGATCCTCACTTCAGAGAGTGCTGCTCACTGTCATGTCCCTTGTAAGAAATGTTAATCTGGGCATTGCTGTTTAATAAAAATTTAGTCTTACAAATTCAGTGTTTCTTTATTTGTGACCTATGCAAGGTGGTTGCAACAGAAATTCATACACAGTGGTAATCGCCACATTTGCAGACTACAATTAATGCTCAGGCAGGAATCATTACAGGGGTCATTCAATGTGGCAAGTAAACAATGCTTGGCTCAATTCATTACTGAAAGACACATTGCTGGGGCTCATTGTCAAAATGCTGCTTCAAAGTCTCCCTGATTCGAATAGCCCCCCACTGAGCCCCTCTAATAGTCCTGGTGTCTGACTCCTCAAAATCAGCCACCAGGTGATCCACCTCAGAGCTCCACCCCTGGGCAAACTTTTCCCCCATGGTTTCACAAATATTATGCAGAGCACAGCAGGCTGCTATGACTCTGGAAATACTTTCCTCGTTGAGGTCTAACCTGCCAAAAAGGCAGCGCCAGTGACCCTTTCATCTGCCAGATGGACATTCTTGGTTATTCTGCACTTGCTGAGTTAGTTGTTGAAGCGCTCCTAATGGCTGTGGTGTATGGTTTCATGAGCCATGAGAGTAAGGGGTAGGCTGGGTCTCCCAGGATCACTATGGGCATTTTCACATTCCCTATTGGAATCTTTTTGTCTTGAAAGAAAGTCTCTGCATGCAGCTTTCTATACAGGCCAGTGTTCCTGAAGATGCTTGCGTCACACACCTTCCCTGACCTCCCTGCACTCATGTCAGTGAAACGACCCCGGTGATCCACCAACACTTGCAATACCATAGAGAAATAGCCGTTTCTGTTGATGTACTCCATCGCAAGATGGTCTAGGGCCAAAACAGGGATATGTGTGCCATCTATCGCCCCACCGCAGTTAGGGAATCCCATTGCCGCAAAGCCACCCACTATTTCCTACACATTGCTCAGAGTCACAGTCCTTCATAGCAGAAGGTGATTAATGGCTCTGCACACTTCCCAGCTCCAAACTGATTGGCAACTGACTGGTAGCAGTCTGGAGTTGTCAGCTTCAACACAGTGATCAACACATGCTTTTCCACCGTTAGGGCAGCTCTCATTTTCATGTCCTTGAAAGCTCCACACAGAGTTCAAGGAAGGTGGCTTTGCGCATATGAAAGTTATGCAGCTGCTGCTCATCATCCCATATCTGCATCACAATCCAATCCCACCACTCGGTGCTTGTTTCCCGAGCCCAATAGTGATAGTCCACCGGATGCAGCTGCTCGATGAATGCCAACATCAATTTTGAATTGTTTCTTTCCATGGTACATAGCAGGGCAGGCACCACGGATTCCTGTTCAGATTCACAGCTCATGAAATACTGCAGGATCAGCCTCTTTGTGTTCACAAAGCTCATCACAAGTCAGGTGATCAGTGCAGGATCCATGC